TTCTTCACAGATCTTGAGAGGACAATAATCAACTTTATATGGAAAAACAAAAAACCCAGGATAGCCAAAACAATCCTATACAATAAAGGATTGTCTGGAGGCATTACCATCCCTGACTTCAAACTCTATTACAGAGCTACAGTGATGAAAACAGTGTGGTACTGGCATAAAAACAGAGAAGTTGACCAATGGAATCGTATAGAAGACCCGAATTTTAACCCACAAACCTATGAACACCTCATTTTTGATAAAGGAGCCAAAAGTATACAATGGAAGAAAGAAAGCATTTTTAACAAATGGTGCTGGCATAACTGGATGTCAACCTGTAGAAGAATGAAAATAGACCCATATCTATCACCATGCACAAAACTCAAGTCCAAATGGATTAAAGACCTCACTATCAGTCAGAACACAGTGAACCTGATAGAAGAGAAAGTGGGAAGTACCCTACAGGAGATGGGCACAGGAGATCGCTTCCTATGTGTAACCCCAACAGCACAGACTTTAAGGGCAACATTGAATAAATGGGACCTCCTAAAACTGAGAAGCTTCTGTAAAGCAAAGGACACTGTCACCAAGACAAATAGGCAACCTACTGACTGGGAGAAGATCTTCACCAACCCCGCAACAGACAAAGGTCTGATCTCCAAAATATATAGAGAACTCAGGAAACAAGACTTTAAAATGCTAATTAACCCAATTAAAAAATGGGGCACTGAACTGAACAGAGAATTCTCAGCAGAGGAAGTTCAAATGGCCAAAAGACACTTAAGGTCATGCTCAACCTCCTTAGCAATCAGGGAAATCCAAATCAAAACAACTTTGAGATATCATCTTACACCTGTCAGAATGGCTAAAATAAAAAACTCCAATGATAGCCTTTGCTGGAGAAGCTGTGGAGGAAGGGGAACACTCATCCATTGCTGGTGGGAATGCAATCTTGTGCAACCACTTTGGAAATCGGTGTTTCGGTTCCTCAGGAAATTCAGGATCAACTTACCCCTGGACCCAGCAATACCACTCCTGGGAATATACCCAAGAGATGCCCTATCACATGACAAGAGCATTTGTTCAACTATGTTCATAGCAGTATTATTTGTAATAGCCAGAACCTGGAAACAACCTAGATGCCCTTCAATGGAAGAATGGATGAAGAAAGTGTGGAATATCTACACATTAGAGTACTATGCTGCGTTAAAAAACAATGACTTCTCAAATTTTGCATGCAAATGGATGGAAATAGAAAACACTATCCTGAGTGAGGTATCCCAGAGCCAAAAAGATGAACATGGGATGTACTCACTCATAATTGTTTTCTAGCCATAAACAAGGGTCACGGAGTCTACACTTGGTGATCCCAAAGAAGCTAAGTAAGAAGGTGAACCAAAGGAAAAGCATATGGTTGTCCTCTTGGCTATGGGAAGTAGACAAAATGGCCGGGGAGAAAATTGAGATCTTGGGGGTGGGGTGGGATGGGGGTAAGGGGAGATGGGGAGAGAGGGCGGAGAGGGGGAGAATGGGGGGAGCTCGGGGAAGGGGGAGGATTGGGATGAAGGAAGGTTGGATGGGGGAGCACAGAAGCACGGTTCTTAGTTAAGGGAGCCACTTTAGGGTGGGCAAGAGACTTGACCCTAGAGGGGCTCCCTAGTGCCCAAGATGAGGTTCCCAGTTAGTTCCTTGGGCAGGTGAGGATTGGGAACCTGAAATGACCCTATCCTAGAGCAATACTGACGAATATCTTGCATACCACCATAGAAACTTCATCTGGTGATGGATGGAGATAGAGACAGAGACCCACACAGGAGCACTGGACTGAGCTCCCAAGGTCCCAAGGAGGAGCAGAAGGAGGGAGAACATGAGCAAAGAATTCGGGACCACAAGGCGTGCATCCACCCACTGAGACAGTGGAGCTGATCTACGGGGAGCTCACCAAGGCCAGCTGGACTGTGACCGAAAAAGCATGGGATAAAACCGGACTCTCTGAACATGGCGAACAATGAGGGCTGATGAGACACCAAGGACAATGGCAGGGGGTTTTGATCCTACTTAATGTGCTGGCTTTGTGGGAGCCTAGCCAGTTTGGATGTTCACCTTCCTAGATATGGACAGAGGGGGGAGGACCTAGGACTTAACACAGGGCAGGGAACCCGGACTGCTCTGTGGACTGGAGAGGGAGGGGGAGAGGAGTGGGGGGAGGGGGAGAAGTGTGGGAGGAGGGGGAGAACGGTGGGAGGAGGGGGAGAAAAAAAACAAAATAAAGTAAATAAAAAAAAAAAGAATTCATTTCATATTTTTTTTCCTCACGAGAAATGCTAAACATTGTGTGACAGATGGCTCTGTGTCTCGCTCGGAATGGTTCCCTGAGAATATATTAAAATTTTATAAAAAATAAATAAATAAATAAATAAATGAAAAAAAGAAAAAAAAGAAAAAATCTCTTTATTGATGGTACACATCCATCTCTGCCTGAAGCTTAAACAATTCAAAAGAGATAGGCAATTTGTAGTTCTAGTCACCCAGGCAGATGGGAGGTTAAACAGCAAAGATGTTCCCAGAACACTTTCTTAAGTACACCAGTGGCACGAAACCATGGCAGGGTCCATGGTGAAGGTCCCAGAGAATGAGGAAGATAGGACAAGTAGAAGGTAGAGAAGCGAAAAGCAGCTGAGCAGTGGTGGCAAATGCTTTAATATCAGAATTCTGGAGGCAAGACAGGCAGATCTCTGCAAGTTCGAAGTCAACATGGTCTACAAGAGCTAGTTCCAGGACATTTTCCTAAGCTACAGAGAAGCCCTGTCTCGAAAAACCAAAAAAATAAAAGATAAAAGCTAGGGTGGGGATTTCTTGCACATGTAAGTTCCATGCCAAGTAAATTTCTTAAGAATAAAATCTTGTATCCAACTTCTGTGGGGGGGGGGGGTGGAAGGAAAGAAAGACTTCAATGAAGTCAGCAGAAACCCTCACACTTAGTACAAATTCAAGGGGAGGCTAATCAAACAATGCTACACAAAGGGAATATGGTGTATTAGGTGATCATTACTAAAACCAAAAAGGCCTAGGGATGGTAATGCCTCCGGACGATGAATGGGGGCCAGCTGGCCTGGGTCTGAAAAAGCCTGGGATTAAACTGGACTTGCTGAACATAGCGGACAATGAGGACTACTGAGAACTCAAGATCAATGGCAATGGGTTTTTGATCCTACTGCATGTACTGGCTTTGTGGGAGCCTAGGCAGTTTGGATGCTCACCTTTCTAGACCTGGATGGAGGTGGGTGGTCCTTGGACTTCCCACAGGGCAGGGAACCCTGATTGCCCTTTGGGCTGATGAGGGAGGGGGACATGATTGGGGGAGGGGGAGGGAAATGGGAGGCAGTGGCAGGGAAGTGACAGAAATCTTTAATAAATAAATAAATTTTAAAAAAAATTTTAAAAGGCCTTGGGATTGACAACCATAGCTCTAAGGAGTTCTCAGAATCCATAGCAACCCTTCCACAAAGGCCCTGACCCCAGGGGATTACCAAAGTAGCTATGTTCAAATGTTAATACCTTAGACACCAGGAAATCTTCCACAGCCTAGGCCCCAGGCTGTTATTCTCTCTCCCAAGAAGGTCCCTTCTCCCTGCTGGAGAGCCTAAACAAAAGCTTTAGTTGATCAGGCCAGTCCTTAACACAACAGTGTTTTAATTTTCAAAGAGCTGTCACCTGTGTCATATTACCCATCAGGCAGAACTATGCTTTTCTCTAAAAGAAAATGAAACTTCAGTGGCACACCAGGATTTAAAGTTGGTTGTGACCCTGTTATTCCCCTTTGAGTAGCTTGTTATAGGACTGTTTTTGTGGTATGCAGATGGACCTAGTGCCAGGTTATAAACCAGGGAAGACTTCTTTGTAAAGGTTTGGAGGCAAATGTCCGAAAAACCCTGTTGAACAAATGTGCATTTAGTATCCTAATCTCTAACAGGCCTAGTCAGCATATGCCCTGTTCTCTGGCAGCAACAGCTCCTGACAGGATAGAGCCTCCTTACAAGGGACACCAATCTGCCTGGTTCTCAGGCAAAAATAGCAGGGCAGAGCCTGACTTGCCAGACTCTCTGTGGGGCTGAAAGGGATGATGAGGGTCACAATTCAGCCATCCTCCCCACGGGGCACCAGGGAAAAACACACCCACTGAGTAGGGTGTCTTTCGAAGCAGAAACTCCTTTATTGGTATCAAGCAGGGACTTATATAAGGTTGTGATGAGGGCAGAGAAGCTTGGGATTGGGCAAGGTGGAGTAAGGAACAAGGGCCAATAATACTTTGCCATGTTAGTGGTAGCTGGGCAGAGGCAGGTCTAGGTCCGGTAATCAGACACAGGTCTTCAAAATCTAGCTAGACTCAGAAAGTTACACTAGGCCTCAGGCCAACTCAAGTTAGGCTCAGGAAAATACACTGGGAAATACTCAAGACCCTGCTTCATGAGGCCTGACAAGTATACAGAGACAGCCCTATCTCCCTTAAATTCTACTTTTTGAGACTTAATATTTTCTAAGTATTGGTAAATCGTTTATATTACCAATTCTCTTCTACATCACGGCGCAGAAGTGCAGGGTTACCCCACATATGGTTGATTTCACAACCTCCACGATATTAACAGTAAACGGATCTCACACATGAAGGTGAAATGCACAGTGCTTAACATCTAGAAGATACTAGAGAAACTAGACCTCCATGAGTTTGGCAACCTGCTTTCCATGAAAGCACTAAAAGCATTCTGATGTTGCCTAGAAAGAGGTTTCTCCACACAGCTCCCTGCTCCCAATGCTTTGAGCAGATTCAGCCCACAGTGCCAAGTTATTCAGAGGCCTGCCCTATTCAGGGAGTTGTAGGCACCATATTCAACTTGAAAGGATGGGGACTCTGGCTGCAATTTTCCATGCATAACTGGAGAGGAACCACCTCACTGATTCCCGCACCTCACCGTCTGTAACTCCCAGTCCAGGGACAGCAGCCCCTCACTCACCATGCCGCGGTTTCCTAGCTTTCGCAAGCGCTCCACGCAGTTTCCTGGAGGAGTTTTAGCACACAACACTGACTCCACTTCCACTTCACTGCCAAGCTGGAAACAGGAAGAGTCCTCCACTTCTGACTGGCAAGTTACCTGGAGAGTCTGATTGGATAGTAATGCCTGAGTGACAAGTGCACCTCCCATAGGGTGAGCCTCTTCTTAAAGACACCGCACAGTATTTGCTGACCCTGCTTTCCAAACCAGACAAAAACCTTTTCTAGATCAGTGGATCTGTGGTTTTCGATAGCACTTGACCTTGGATCTGGTTCCAGACCCTACTATCTTCCTGTAGGCACTTCTCCTTCTTCCACCTGGACACGCGTGGCTGTTTCACAACCCACTCACTATTCTTTGTGGATAGAATAATTCCTTGTCACAGGCATGGAAGGATGTCCAGAAGAGATTTAAGGACACAAGATGGAATATTTGTTCTGTGGTTCAATGCTGAGGTAAAAGTGAACTAAAGGTGCTTTTTTTCCTGGGTGTCACATGTACCTCAGAAAATCAGGAAAGTAGGAACCAGGACTTGGTGAGGGCGCAGGGCAGGTGGTGAGCGCGGCGGGAGCCATGGCAGGAGGTGGTCCTGGTGGGACAAGGCGGGGTAAGTAACTCAGTCCAGAGGCCCAAGGCCGGCGTGAGGAGGAGTGAAGCGGCGCCGGGAATGGGCAACCCGGAGCAAACGAGCTTCAAGCTGACCAGATGAGGGTGTCAGCGTCCCCAGAGTGGAGGGTGGGGCGGGTCCATCTGCAGAGCCCAGCGGGACAGGGGTCCGATATCTGGGCACAGTGCTAGCAGCTTCCAGCCCTAAACTTGTCCACAACAGGCGACCGCGGGAGCCCATAGCCGCCAGCGGCGGACTGAGTGGGCGGGCGAGAAGGAGGGGAAGGCTGGAGGTCGCTGAGGCGAACAGGTGGGCAGACCGGGAGTCGCCACGTAAGCCGGGAGGCTGGGTGCCCTGCGTCAGGCGCGGCTGCGCAGCATCGGAAGTCCTTTGCAGCAGCGCCGTCCCTGACACAGCCGGAGCGTCTCAGTACAGCAGCCGGCGACCCTCGCCCCGCCCGCCCGCCCCGGGGCCCCTCCCGGAACTCCCGGAAACCCCCTCAGCCTCTTGTCCCGCTGCGCCCGCTGAGTAGCTGCCAGTCCTCCGGGCGATTTGCGCAACTTTGACCAGGGCCGGGTGGCGGGGATGCCTGAGCGCGGAGGGCGCGCGGCGAGGATCTCTTGGCGGGGGCTGCTGAGCCGGCGGCCTCCCCGGATCTGGGACGAATTCCCTGTCCAGACGACTTCCCAAATTACTTATTTTTCCCTTTATTTTATTCTTTTTGAGGGAGGGGACGTGAGGTGGAGGCGGGAGGCCGCGCTTGATTGACGGGCCCAGAGAGTGCTTCGCTAACTTCCAGCTGCTGCTGCGCGGTCGGTGGGAGGGGAGCGACCCGGAATCTGAGGCTGGAGACTTGGGTGCTCTCTGAGGGTGGAGGCGCCTGGTTCCGGCGGATTCCGGCTTTCCACTTTTCCACGCCCTCTCTTTAGCATCGGGGCTTTTTGTTCCTGTCGAAAGTCTTGGGACTCTTATGTGGATGAGGTTTTTTTTTTTTGTTTTTGTTTTTGTTTTTTCTTTCACCCCCTAGTCCAGAAAAAAAAAAAAAAAAAAAACGTGCTTTTCGCCTCCAGTGGTGGGCATTTAGAAGTAGAAGTTCTGGGAGAGGCGGTTAGCAAGTTGGGTGGCAGTCAGGAGTCCTTGCGGCTGGAGTGTGTGTGCCTGGGTCTGAGCTCAACCACCACTCCAGGCTGCCTCTTCACCTGAAAGTCCCGTCCACGTGATGGCTTGACAAGACCTTTTCCAACTCTGGATGCATCAGGAGCAGGTCCGATTACTAGGAGATGGCCCAAAAATTAGAGCCAAACCAATGTTTTTCCTAAACAGTAGAACCATGGGTATTTTACTTGAGGAGTTTGGACATACTCGTGTGGAGTTCTGTGTATTCCTAAGCATGTTCAATTATGAAATCCACTTCTGAACATAGCCACTATAGGCAATAAAAGCCTATAAAGGAAACATCAAGCGCTGAGCACACTGACTCTGAACCCAGAAACAGTGAAACAAATGCATCCTGGATTTGAGACCTGAGCCAGGGAAAGAAACATTTTATCCCTGAACCCACAAACCTAAGAGACACGTGCTGACTCTCACACTGAAAGACCTGGATAAATCCAGAACCCCCTAGCAGGAAAAAATAGAGCCAAAAATCTAAGCCTGGAGAAAACCAGAAATCTAGGATTAGCCGGTTCAGTGACTGTGTTTCAGGAACTAGCTGAAGATAAAGGTAGATTGTAATCTTGAGAATAATCTTGAGAAACAGGGTGTTTCCCCTTTGTGATTGTCATTGGTATTTTTGGAATACCGTGTTTAGGAACTGGCTGATTATGACCTTAAGAGTGGTCTTGAGAGGCAGGGAGTTGCCCCCTTGTGGTCTTCACTGGTATTTTCGGAATTTTCTGTGACACTCTCCCTGCCTGGTTAGGATAATTGGGCTGTGGTTTCTTCCCTTAAAAACCCCTTCTCCCAGTCACTCGGGGTCGAACTCTTCCCCTGCTTGGGTTATGAGTCTCGGCCCCAGTGCACTGGTTCCCATCTCATCTCATCTATTAAACCTTGCAGCCAGGACAGTCTCTGGTGAGTTACTGGGGGGGGGGGGGGGGTCGTGTTATCCGAGACTTGAGTGAGAGTCTCCCCACACTGGGGGCCTTTCAACACCGGGACCAAAGAAACATACTTTGTCCCTAGAACCAGAGCCAGTAAATGAAATATTCCTTGACCCTAAGATTAGAGTCAAAAGTCATCCCTGACCTGACCAACTAAACTAGCCAATCCCTGAGCAGATTAACATCTCCCTGGGTAAACTCCATGACTAAGAAGTTTATATAAGCCCTTCTGCCTGTTCAGTTGCAGGCTGTCATTTACCTCACCAGCAGAGGCTACCACTCTCCTGGCCTCCACATTCTCAAATAAATCTTCTTGGAGCCTGAGGAGATTACTCCATTTCTTCAAGACTTCCCCTTTAGCACAGTGTTAACAGAAGTACCATCTTGGGTTGCCCAAGAAGGGGATAGCTCTCTATTACTTTCCCTTAGGGGACCTGAGAAGAGGTCAGCTATAGGGGCACTCCAGGAGATGAGGGGAATTGCTTTATGCTGCAGGGAGAGCAGGAATCCCTACTGCTTCCCAACTACAGGTAGCCTGGCTTCCCTATAAGTCTCTTTCCTCTTCAGGGCCAAACTGTCCCATGTGGCTCTACCCCTCCAGAGGTATCCTATTGTTGCTCTGCCCCTCATCAGCTGCCCTATTGCAGCTTTAGGTATAGCCTGGATTCCCTATAAGTCAGGATATCTTTGAGGTCCAGAGCTTTTAGACTCACAGTTATAATCACAATGTAAGTTCAGGGACATTTAGGGACAATTTTACCTCAGAGTCATTCAGGAATATATAAAAATTAAAAGACTTATAAAAAGAAGTGCCTCGGCATTTCCATCTTGTACCACAAGGTATTAGATAAAAATCAAGAAAATGACACTGAAAAGTAGACTGCTTTGGGGCCTATGAAAGTTGTCAATATTGATGCTTGATTGAAAAGATAACTATACCAATGCTATAGTTCTCATAGATACAAAAGAGGAAACAAATACAAAAAATGTCTAGGAATTGTCACCTAATAGCACTGTGCACTGTGCTCCCTTATGAACCTTTAAGATGATCTATCTATATTAAATTCAAAACAAAGCAGGTTTTGCCACTGAGCAGGCTGGCTTGGCAGAAGGCCACAGCTGCTTTCATGCAAGACCAGAAGGAGTTCATGTTAACTAGCTCTGGCAGCTATCTCTCTCAGGACTGTGATATCACTGTTAAGAATTCATTCTTTCCTTTTTCTAATTTATTAATTGTTTTTTAGTTCTAAGGTGTTTTGCTTGTGTCTATGCCATACAGAAGAAAATGGGATTGCTGTCACTGGAGTCACCACAAATGGTTAGCTATTACATGCATTCTGAGAATAGAAACTGGATCCTCTGTAAAGCACTCAGTGTTCTTCATTTTTGAGTACTACCTCAATTTTATTTAAAACTTATTTCTATAAATTGTTAATTAAAAGTTATTACTTCACATTTCTTTTGTATCTTTTATTCCATTCCTTCCCAAATCCTTTCCAACTTCTTCCTTGTTTAGTATTGGTAAATAATTATGCTGAAATACGTTAATACAACATGGTGTGCTGATTTCTGTTAATTGCATATATATATATATATATATATATATATATATATGGATAATGGGTTGACTATATTGTACTGGATAAACACTTGACAAGCTCATCCCTGCCTGAGGCTAATTTTCACAAAAGGAAGAGAATTCCACTTTTCAGTCAACATCAGATGTCTGACCCTGAGTAGGATGCTTCGACAGGGAACATAATCAAGAATAGAAAACTTGCAGTTGAGAACACCTTAGCAATAAAGAGCACTGAAGTTTGTATTAGAGAATCTCACTTCCATTCTCAATAAATATAGACGCTCATTACTAACCGTACTTCTAGTATCAGGGTACTGACACTGTCTCCTGTCCTCTCTGGCCAATATAAGAAGAGGAGACCTGCACCATAAAATATTATTTTTCAATCTGCGTGTATTAGTGTATTATTTTAGTACCAGGAATCTGGCCACAGAGTGTAGCCTGAATAACAAAAACCCAGAGACAGTTATTGGGGTCCAATCTGAAGATCAGAAAAACAAAGTAGACAAACACTAACAGCTTTTATCTCTCTGATATCTTTAAACTGGAAGAAAGCAAATTTCTCTCTCATCCTACCTTATCTTCCTCTCTAGTGTTGGGGTTAATAGTGTGCATTACCATTGTCTGGACTCTATGTCTAACTAGTATGGTTTCTGGGATTAAAGTTCTAAGCTAAAACTACATGGCCTATATAGCTGACTAGTATGACTTCTTTGCATTCTTATCTTCAGGTAAGCTTTATTTATTAAAATACAAATGATC